CATAGAAGAAGTTTTTGGTCACAGGTTCGAATCTGGTCGGCCGCAAAAAAAAAAAAAAAATAGCTCAATAAGAAATAAAATAATAAAAATAAAGATAAGGAGGATTTGAAAGTTCAGCGATTAGTTAAATAATTTCAATTATTTACGTGGGCATTGCAATGGGATTTGGCTGTATCCTTCGGGTCCTCCGTGTGCCTCCGGCGCGCTCTTGTAATAGGAATTCCTAATCAACTTCTTCGTGAGCGCTCGGCGCTCGAGCCGGACGGCCCGCGGCGCTGGTCGTGCAGAGACTCTTCTGGCGGCAGAGAATTGTGAAGGCACCACCATCCTCGAGGGGCACGCCAACGGCGACAGCTGTGTGTTCTCGCCCGACGGACAGCGCGTCGTGACAGGGAGCCATGACGGCACGCCGTGGCTCTGGGAAGCATAGACGGGCGCGCTGCAGGTGCAGATGACGACGCTGCGGCCCCGCCGGGGCTTATTCCATATTTTCACAGACCCGCCCACGCCGGCGCAGAGCTTAGGCGCGCTCTACGGCCCCGCGACGAGCGCGCCGCAGAGGGCGCCTTGGCCCCTGCGAAGGTCCCATCCGCGCGTTCTCGGCCGACGGCACGCGCATCGTGACGCCGAGGTGGGGCCTCGTGCGGCTCTGGGACGCCGCGACGGGCGCGCTCAAGAATACGCTCAAGGGGCACACCAACTGCGTCCAGAGCTGCGCGTTCTCACCCGACGGCACGCGCGTCGTGACGGCGAGCTGGGACGAGACTGTGCGGCTCTGGGACGGGGCGACGGGCGCGCTGCAGAATACGCTCGGGGGGCACACCAGCTACGTCTGGTGCTGTGCGTTCTCTCCCGACGGCAAGCGCGTCGTGACGGCGAGCATCAACGGGACAGCGCAGATCTGTAGCGCTGCTGATGAAGCTCGAAAGGCACGCCGGCTCCGTCAATTGCTGCGCGTTCCCCCCCGGGGGCGAGCGCGTCGTGACGGCAAGCCTCATCAAGACGGCACGGATCTGGGACGCCGAGACGGGGGCGTGCTGCAGGCGACGCTTGTGGGTCACACCGACATCGACAGCTGCGCGTTCTCGCCTGATGGCATGCGCGCCGTCACGGCGGGCTACGACAAGACGGCGCGGCTCTGGGACGCCGCACTCTAAAGTTATGACTCACGTTGGCATTGGGAGCGAGTGCAGTCAGTCGGTCTTCAGTCGGTGTCCTCTCTACTCGCCTCCACGGTGCCGCGTCGTCGTCGCTAGGGGCTCGTGCAGCAGCAAAAAAGGAAAAAAGAACAATAGCTCAACAAGGGCATGAATAATAAATAACTCGAACGCCGCCGTCGCGGCGGCCGCAGCGCTGCTTGCTTCAACGCCCCAAGTCGCAGGGGGCGTAGCGCGTGGCGCCCGCAAGACCTCGTTCATTCCTCGTGGTTGTTAAAGAGTAAGAAAAATCACAACAAGAAGTAATAAATCAAAAAAATGTTAAGGATGGATGAGATGAGATTGATCGGAGTAGGGACTCGAACCCTAAATCTTCGCCTTAGGAGGGCGACGCCTTGTCCATTAGGCCACAACGACGTATTCGGGTGTGACACGGGCCTTGCGTGCTGAAACGCCCCGAGCCAAAAAAGCTACCTGATCAATGACGATTTACTCGAGCACTAAAGAAGAAGACCGAGCAATTAGCATCGATCGGAGTAGGGACTCGAACCCTAAATCTTCGCCTTAGGAGGGCGACGCCTTGTCCATTAGGCCACACCGACAACTTCCTGGATTTTCGTCATTGTATCATATTGGGATCGTTCGCTGATTTGGCTTTGTAGATAAGGGTTGAACTCCAAATTATTGCAAAAGTAATTAAACCCCAGAATACAGGAGCCCATAATCGTTTACTTTGGCGCCGTCGCGCAGCTCTGCTCCGCCCGCACCACCAAAGGCAGCCGTTCTTATCTGCTCGCATCACCCCCGCGCCGCGGCCATTCACATCCGGCCGCATCCTCGTATCGCGCGACTGGCTGAGGGCCCTCCTATGACGGCTAATCCACCGGTTGCGGCTAAGCCGCATGATGTGGCGCAGCCAGCGAAGACGGCTCAGCTTCCTCTAGCGACTCAACCACTGGAGACTGCGAAGCATCCGGAGATGGCGCAGCCGTCGAAGGCGGCCCAGCCTCCTCTGGCGACTAAGTCGCCAGAAACGGACGCCTGATGTGGCGCAGCCGGCAAAGGCGGCCCAGCTTCCTCTTGCGGCTCAGCAGCTGGAGGCTGCTAACCCTCCGGAGGTGGCGCAGCCGGCAAAGGCGGCCCAGCCTCCTCTTGCGGCGCAGCCGCCAGAGGCTGCTAAGCCGCCGGAAGAAGGCGCAGCCGGTGAAAGCGGTCCAGCCTCCTCTGGCGTCTAAACGCTGGATGCTGCTAAGCCGCCAGAGGAGGCGCCGCCATTGAAGGCGGTCCAGCCTTCTCTGTCGTCTAAGCCGCTTGAGGCTGCTAAGCCGCCAGAGGCAGCGCAGCCTGCAGGCAGCCCAGCCTCCTCTTGCGGTACAGCCGCCGGAGGCGGCGCAGCCGGCGAAGGCGGCCCAAACGCCTCTGGCGGCGCAGCCGCCGGAAACGGCTAAGCCGCCGAAAGCGGCGCAGCCGGCCAAGGCGGCCCAGCCTTCTCTGACGGTGCAGCCTCCTCTGGCGTCTAAGCCGCCAGAGGCTGCTAAGCCGCCAGAGACGCCACAGCCGGTGAAGACGACCCAGCCTCCTATTGCTGCGCAGCCGTCTGATGCGGCTAAGCCTCCGTATGCGTCGAAGCCGCGAAAAGCGGTCCATCCTCCTCTGGCGCCGCAGCCGCCAGAGGCGTCTAAGCCGCCATAGGCGGCGCAGCCGTCGAAAGCGGCCCAGCCTTCTCTGGTGGCGCAGCCTTCTCTTGCTGCGCAGCCGCCGGTGGCGGCCAAGCCGCAGGTGGCGGCCAAGCCGCAGGTGGCGGCTAAGCCGCTGAATGCGGCGCAGCTGGCGAAGGCGGCACAGCCACCAGTAGGCAGCGCAGCAGGTGAAGGCGGCCCAGCCTCCTATTACGGCGCTGCCGTCTGATACGGCTAAGCTGCCTGATGCGAAGCAGCCGCCGAAGGCGGCCTATCCTCCTCTTGCGGCGCAGCCGCAGGATGCGTATAAGCTGCCGTAGGCGGCGCAGCCGTCGAAAGCAGCCCAGTCTCCTCTGGTAGCGCAGCCTTCTCTTGCTGCGCAGCCGCTGGTGGCGGCTAAGTCGCCAGAGGCGGCACAGCTGGCGAAGGCGGCCCAGCCGCCAGAGGCGGCGCAGCCCGCAAAAACGGCCCAGCCTCTTCTGGCGGCGCAGCCGCCTGAGGTGGCTAAGCCGCCAGAGGCGTTACAGTCTATTCATGCCTCTCACCTTCCGAAGGCGTTGCATCCTCCGTTTGTGGCGAAGCCGCTTTCGTTTTCAATGGTTGACGTTTCAATATCCTGTGAGGTTGCTTATAGTTTCTCCATCTCTTCACAAGCTTTGATTCCTTTTCTGCCATTCTCTTTGTATGGCCCATGTCCCTCAAGTGCATCATTATCTCAGCTATAGCCGGCGTGCTCCGACCTACGCGTCCATCCGTATCGCTCGCGTGTATGTTTTTCGTGTTTCTTTCCATCTCAATCGTTTCAACTTTGACGGGTAATCGCACCTGCATATCGTCCTTTACAACATCGCTTTCCAGCCCGGCTATAGGGCTGATTATGGGCTTTTTAAGCACTTTTTGACTTTTGCATACTAGGCACCTAGACAAGCGGGTGAACGTAAGTGCCGTCAAACACGTCCGGCGCACCGTACTCATGTGCCCCGCTCACCGTGGTCATGGTGAACAGAAGCTCTTGCGCAGCCGCCGGTCTCGCTACTTGGCAAACGCGACGCGGCGCGCGCTCCGGCGCAGCTTCAGGCCCGCTCGTTTCGGAATTCGGCATTCATCTGCCGCTCCGCAGAGCATTCACGATACGAACCGGTCCACCGGCGATGCCGCAGCGACGGCGAAACGGCAGGACGCTCTTCAACACGCTCAGGGTCCGCGCCGCTGGATACCCAGCCCGTTTCGGAGCAATGGCCCACAGACAACCCTCTAACATTTCCCGGAATTTCTTGCCATGCCATGGTGTAGCTTACGCGACGCGTGTCGTTGATGAACAGGGCGTGGACGAAGAGAGGCAAACAAATTGAGGCACAGAGATCGAACGGTTTCCAAGGACAAAGGACGCTTCCGAAGGCGGCCCATCCTCTTCTGGCGGCGCTGCTGTTGGATGCGTCGCATCCCCCGTTTGCGGCGAAGTCGCATTCGTTTACAATTTTTAATGTAGCCGTCAAAGGCGGCTCATCCTTTTCCTGCGGCAAAGCCGCCAGAAGCGGACCATCCGCCGTTTGCGACATTGCCCCCCCTGTGGCGAATATACCTCTTCCACTGAAGTCGACGTAGCCGCCGAAGAGGGCTCATCTTCTTCCTGCGGCGAAGCCGCCACATGCAGCGCATCCGCCAAAGGCGGTACTGCTTCCTCTTTTAACGAATAGGAACCTCTTACGCCAAAGTATTCGTTGCCGCCAAAGAAGGCTCAGCCGCCGAAGTCGGCGTAGACGCCGAAGGTAGCGTAGCCGCCAAAGGCGGCTCAGCCGCCGAAGGCGGCGTAGCCTCCTAATGCGGCTCAGCCGCCGAAGGCGGCTGAGCCGCAGATAATGGTGTAGCCGCCGAAGGCGGCGTAGCCGCCTATAGCGTAGCCGCCTATAGCGTAGCCGCCTATAGCGTAGCCGCCGAAGATGGCTCAGCCGCCGAAGGCGGCGTAGCCGCCAAAGGCAGCCTTGCATCCTTCTATGACGATTATGCCTGTGGCGGCCTTGCCTCCTCTCGCGGCGCAGCCTTTGGATGCCTCGCATCCTTCGTTTGCGGTGATACCACTTGCGTTTCTTTTTTGACGTCTCAGTATCACGTGAGGTTGCTTATAGTTTCCTCACCCCTCTGCAAGCGCCGTTTCCTTTTGTGCCCATCTCTTCGTAAGTCTCTTGCACCTTAAGGGCATTAATATCTTAGTAATAGGTGCCGTTTGAGGACCTACACGTCCGTCTATATCGCGCACGTGTTTGTTCTTTTGCGTTTACTTCCTTTCATTCGTCGCATCTTCAACGGACAAACGCACCCGTTTGTCGTACTCTATGTCCATAATCATGTGCGAGACTATAGACCCGAAAACGCACGTTTTAGTCGCTTCCCAGAGTTTTCTTACTTAACACCTACAAAAGCTTATACGCGTTCGTGCTAATAAACGCTTCCTGCGCATCGTCCCGACGGCCCACGTTGCGTCTCCACATGTCCCACAGAAGAACCGTTCACCTCACTTTTTAATAGGCGCATGCTGTAGCGCTCTCAGTCGATTTTAGATCAGCTTCATGGTCCGTTAAGGTTTTGTTCGATTAACATTTCGTTATAAATGCAAACATTGCAAATATTTGATGAAAATTTGGAAAGTAAGCGATATCTTTTCTCGCCAAAGTCATCATGCCGATTTTCGTGTTATTCCAGAGGGCGGACGACGAAGAGACTTAGTCACACGGGTGCGGCATTAGACGCTGCATCCCCTTGACTTGGTGGGCCCGTCCGCAGCCCCCTGGAACATATTTCAATATTTTGACGCGCCAAATATTGAAATATTTTCCAGAGGGCGTTAGGCGCTCCTTTCAAGTCACTTGACATGCGAGTCAGGCGGCGCATCTCGACGTCTTGAATGGAGCGCCTAACGCCCTCTGGAAAATATTTCAATATTTGCGCGTCATCTTACGGAAGAAAGGGACCCTGAAGCTGATCTAAAATCGACTGCTCTACAAGCACCTCCACTGGTATGTACTAAACTATCGCCGAAAATTAAAACGAAACTATGAAAACACGAATTATCGCTAAATAACTAATCTGAAAGCCGGTTATCGTCGCGGCGCCGGGCGCGGCGCCGCGGCATACGGCGCCGCCGCCGGCTCGCGGGAGCCGCCTCTCGTTCGACGAGGACCGCCTCGACCCCAACCAGTACCTCAACGACCCGCTCACGTGCGCGTCGCTCAGCAGTGTAGCCACTTCAAAAACCATCCTTCGGGACACCAGGCTCCAGCTGTGCGACTCGCGCGCGCTCCGGGAAGGCGAGTGCGGCGACCGGTCACGGGCGGACCACTTCGCGTTCGACGACAACGCGCTGCTCTAGTTCAGCTGGAATGGTTAGATGATCGCCGTTCTTCCTCGTGATTTCGACTCTCTCATTCGCACCTTCACCCGCGCTCCCGCGCCGAGGTACTGTTTGATAGACTCGGATTAAAGTAAATATCGCTAAATTGACCATAAAAAGAAGACAGCAACCCCCTTGAGACAGGGGTTCGTTACAAAACAAACGATTTTTTACAAAAGCTGGAACGGCCATGTGGTACGGCGCGGGCTATTAGGGCGACTTAAGGGTGTATCAGCAAGTGCCCCCGACGTCGATAGAGCGCCTGGAAATAAGTCGCCAAAATCACCGCTTCAGCAACGAATTTCACATCGCCTTGGCGGATGGCGCGCCCTCGCTGCACCATCCAGAGGGCAAGATAAGCAGCAAGGGGCACTTTTGTGGCCCAAAGATGTACTTTTTTGTACTTTTTTCCAGAGAGCGTGGAAGGTTCTAATTTTTGCATGGGCGCCTACAGAGGCGGGCTCGCGCTGTTTACCGAAAAGTACTGTGAAGGTAACTCTCACGCCCGTCACTTTGTCGCCATATAATAAATATT